CGACAAATTAGATAGAAACGTACTGTTTTAATAGACAGTATAAGCTTAGTGGCTGGGTGGCGAAAAAAAGCGGCTTTAGATCTAAATCAACAACTAGTATTATAATTAGTGTTTTTACTTCCAGTTGCACTAAAACTATAAAGCTTATTTAATAACTTCTTTACTAAACGTTAATTATAAACAACTAAGTTGCGAGATTCATCACATTAAAACTTCGAGTAGTTGTATATATTTTGCTTCTCACAAACGGCAAAGTGTTATTTCGAGAGTTTTTGATTTGAGTGTCATTAGTAAATAGAAGACGCCATAGTAACTCCACTCGGAGAGCTATACGTGCTACAACCGGTGCTGCTATAGATTTCTTTTATTACTTATTTTAGTAAAATACACTTATTATTATTATTATTATTTCCATACTCCATTAGGAACTTAAGGAGTCTACTAAAGTTTTCCACGGATTTCTATTTTGTGCTATTGCTCTCAACTCGTTTAACGATTTGCCCGTCTCCTGCTGAACTGTCCTTCACCAGGTCATTGCTAGTCTGCCTCTGCGCCTAGTCTGTTGGGGGTTCTAAGTAAATTCAGCATGCGCGTTATCTTCGTAAGGCTTACGGAGTGTATATTGGATGTCAATTCAACCATACTTCCTTCTTATCTCGCTGTTTACGTTTGTTTGGTGCACAATTCTCTATGGACACGAATTACCCCCATTTTACTCCGAATTTTATGTTGAAGTAATTAAAGAACTTTCCTTGAATAACTCTACTATAATAATTCTACTACTCATGTAGTAAACTGTAATACACATAGTATTTTGACTTAATACATACTTAAACATAATCAATTATTTTATGTTACTTTCTAGTGAAATACCAACAATAAATTATTTTTATATTTTTTTAATTGTTATTTATAGATCATTTATTATTCATTACTATAAAGTGTATTTTGTAATTATTGTAAATTTTTTCACTTTTTCATGCTTTACTTTTTACAGTTTTCGAGTTAATAATTTTTTCATTTTTTTTCATTATTATTTATAGTGTTTAGCTTATAAAATAATAACGCTTACGTATACAATATTCAAATAGAAATGATCATAAATCCATTTAAATATAGACATAACATTCCGAAATATTCGATATGAAAAACAGTTTCAAAAATCATGACTTAAACACTTTTATTTTGAACGCCACAGTAGCGAGCATATCATAGAGGAAACTATATGCAATAATTAACAAACTAAACAAAAACTTAATATTCTATAAAAGTTAACTAAAAACAAAAATAAATAAATTCATTTAAAAAAATATTTATTAAAATTAAACTAGAAATACTTAAACGAATAACATTGCAGAAGAGTCAGTTAATGGCCAACAAAAACGTTTGTCATTTCATAAAACTCAACCATTAACTGACTAACAATGCAATTAAACCATTTAAAATCCTTAAAAATAATAGTAAAAATTAACAGTAAAATAATGAAATAAAGCATTTAGTATTTCAAATATAATAAATTTAGTTTTATTGTATTCACATTCACAAAGTAGTAGTTAAATTATATATAAAATAGAGTTCACCTCCATTACGTAGCATAAAAATAAGATACTTCCTTCACAAAAACTAAACGAGTAGCCAAAAAAAAAAATAAAAATCCAAACCGAAAACATATAAATACCAGAAACTAAAATGTCCACAAAATAAATAAACTCCAAACTACAAAACTTCCAAAAAATACATAAAAACCTAAAAAACTTCATGAAAAATGAAAACTTCATTTTGCAGGTAAAAACGATTAGAAAAAAATTAAAACAAAAATATTTCAAGCCATAAAATTTGATCTCGATTTTTAAAATTTTATGATGATTGCGGATAATTGGTTGTGCACAAAACTTAACAAATGAAAAATTTTGCAGAATAACAGAATAAAAAAGGGAAAGCACTTCAAAAAAGCAAAACACAGGAATTGCAAACTCAATTGCATGAATTTTTAAACTAAAACCAGGCAAAAAATAACACGAGGTTCAAATTAAACAAAATTAAAATTAAGGATTTCTGCCAAAATTCTTCCTAAGTTAATAAATTATATAAAATAAAAAATTTTATAAATTATTCAAAACTACTTCTCATAAGAATCCATAATTTTTTTGCGCTTAAATTGAGCCTTAAGTTATTTACAAGCTTTCCACAGTTTTGGTAATGTCTTTAGTAGGTATTAATGTTTCCATAATTTTCTTTTTTTTTTTTAATTATATATATTATAATATATACTAAGAAATGTAAACTTTTTATTAGGTATGTGAGATATGAGATAAAGCTTTTTTTAATATTTAATATATTTTTTGTAAAATAAACGTCTTTTACTAATGCTTAAACTTACTTTCACATATTTTTTTACATTCAACAAAAATTGTATTATACAACATTTGAACTTTTTTAATATTTTAACTTTTATTATTAATATACATTAAATTTACAATTTTAAGTACTAACTTGAAAATTTTAAAACAATAAAAATAAACAATCGCTAAAGATTAAAGATAATAGTGTGAAATTGCTTAACATAAGTGAAGCTGATCTCAGGAAAAAAAATGTCACTCATACGCACTGTGGTACGCAAACCCAAAAGCTAAATTTATAAAAATTAATTTAACTTAAACTGACTCCCCATCCCTACAACCATTCAGTTTAATTTAACAAATAAAAATCACGTTTAATTATTGCAAAACGAACAAAATAGTGAACTAAAGAGGATTACGGTGTAAAGGGGACTGTGGACCCTCCATTGAACAAAACATGATGTTGCATTTTCAAAATCGTAAATAAAATGTGGGAAATGGCAACCTTTTTAGGGAATATGTGGATGTGAGAATATGTTTTGCTTTTAATTTGTAATTTAATTATATAGAAAAGTGTTATTTTCTTAATATAAGTTATTTATTGTAATGTTTATTAGACGATGAAAAAAAAATGTTCTTAAATTAATTTTACAATATAAAAAAAAATTTTTTTAATTCTTTCCATTCAATCTTATTGCAATTATAACATAGAGAAGTGAGGAACTTCTGAGAGCCTGACTTTTTTTCATTACTTTAATCCACCTAAACTATTAAGGGTTTAATTTACTTGGTTTACAAGTTGAAAATATAAAGTATGTATTCTACATAACACGCATTATATACGATTTATATGATCGTATGAAATTTTTATCTACGAAAGTCAGTCATATTTTGTATTCACAAAACCTCGTTATAGTGAGTAGAAGGGAAAGGGTGAGCTAGAACCAGCTAGAGGCATTTATAAAGGCAAGAATCTGGCCAATGCTAATGCTAGATATATCGCCGAGTGTGTTGAAGAAAGTGTCCCCAGAAACTTAAGCCTAGTTCTGGTCAAAAATGGACACAGACACATAAGGTGTTCTGATGCTCTTTCTTCGAGAGCTGGTAGACACGCAATACAGGAGATACCACAAGGTAGCGCAAGTCTAGCTCCATATGTTTAAAAATTTGCTTTATAATTTCTAATGTTTCTACATATTTTCTTATTATCTTCTTCTGATTCATTAAGCTCAGTAAATTAGAAAAACTGCCAGACATTAGCTTACAAACCCGTTTGTATTCCTTTTCATTCATTCACATTGACCTATGTACGCTTCTTTTATAAAAAAATAAAACAACTATCAGACATCAAAATACTTCAACTGTTTAGATCCTATTATTCTGTTACTCACATTGAGATTTAGAGAGCTTTTGCAAGTGAGTGTGAGAAAATCTTATAGTAAGGAGTAGAAGAACTAACAAACGCCAATATCTTACATCCATTTGAAGCTGCTTCTTCTCTTATTCATATTAAAATTTGTAGATTCCTTAAAAATAAGAATAAAAAAACTATCAGATAATAATCTGAATCCTCATTTTCTGTTACTCACATTAGAATTTGTTAGAAAAGGTCTAGGTGAGCATGTCAAAATTTTTAGATAACTTCAACTCCAAAATACTTATAAGAACCAGTTAAAGAACTAACAAACATACGTACCTTGCAAGTATTTGTATCTTATTTAGCCTTTATTCACATTGAGACTTGTAAAGTTCTTGAAGGTGGGTGTAAATGAATCACCAGTCCCTATTCGTTTTTCCTATTCACATTAAGTTGTATAAAACTCTAAAAGTTAAAATTATTAAAAGTGTGACAAACCAGTGTTCTTTTGATATCAAACTTCTAATAGATAAGAATAAAAGAAAAAAAATTATTAGACACCAACTCACATACCACATTTCAGTCCGCTTTTATCTTATTTAGATGTAGCTGTGTGTACTATCTGCGCTATGGGTACGAGAAGTATCAGAAACTAGTTCTTTGAGTCCGTTTAAAAAGATTTTTTTCTTTTACTAATAATGAACTTCGTAATTTGCCTTTAGCCCGGAGTAGGTAAACTGTCAAATAACGATCAGAGTCGATTGCAGTTTATGAATTCTCTCTTTACCTTATTCACATTGAACTCAATAAGTTTCTGAAAGGAAGAAGATGGAATACTTTCAGATAACTATTAGAGTCAGTTACAGTTTTACTTTTCTCTTACTCACATTTTCGATTAATAATTTTCTCTGGGTTAGGAGTAGGAGAGCTATCCTTATCTGTTTGTATTTTTTTTTATTCACTTATAATATGCAAATTTTTAGTAGATGAATTATTCAATAATTGGAGCAATCTCGGTATATATTTTCAACGATTCTTATGAAAATCTCTACCAACTTGTTATCAGTTTCTATTACCTCTTAGGATCCTTCACTAATAAGTTGAATATACAGTGCTGGATCATTTTAAATAGCTTAATCTCTCTTCTCATCAATGTGATAATTGGTTAACAACATTTATTTCCAATTAACAAAATTTTTATCTTGATATTCGTACTTTAAAATATATCTTAAATTTACGCACCTAAAATATTTGCCATAAAACCTTAAATTCTGTAGATACACTAATAAACTTTTATGTTAAGCAATTTCACACTATTTACGTTAAAACTTAACTCGGTACTATAAAGAAATAACTCCGTAAGAACTACACGAGTAGGCTACGCACTTTAACCACAGCAAATGTGGATATGTACTCGAACATTTTAAGGACTAAAAGCAAATAAAAATTAATTGTGTTGCGTTGTGTAAGTAAACCGAAAACTACCATTTGTGTAATTTTTGTGTCCTTCTAGGAACTTATTTCAATTGCATTATGTTTATGGTGGCCTCATCAGTTGTGTCAACCATACTTATCCTCAATTATCATCATAGAAATCCAGATACGCATGAAATGAGTGAATGGGTAATATTTTTATATGTTCTCAAATAAACTAAACTACTTTTTAGTTGTTTTTATATAAAATAAGCATAAACACATTTCCACAAATTAGTGCATATTTGACAATGAAATTAACACACAAAACTTAAAACTACACTAAAAACAGTAAAAACAGTACAAGAAGCACTTGAATTCTGTACAGAAATTGCTATGTACAATTTTACACTAAATTTGAATTAAATTTACATAAAAAGAATATGAATTTTAGAAACACAATTGCTTTTTGCAGGCACATTTTTATCAAATATTTTCTATTTTTTAATTAAATTTTTTGCTTTCTTTTTTAAAAACAATTTCAATGCATATTAAGAACTCATTGAGAACTAAAATTGCATGTTCAATAAGCATCAATTTATACATAAATAACAACTATAATCCACTTCCTCCTACTTACTTCACACATACTCGTAATTACTATTTACTTTACTATGACTTTAAATACTTAAGCTTTGCTAAAGTAATTACATTGAGGTTTTGCATTTAATATGATAATCATAAATTATTGTAATTAATCTATATTATTAAGTCATGCCTAATTTAAACATACATTTTTATATAAGCATCAACTAAGCATCATTGTACGATTTATCCAAACTTTAAATAATTATTAAATTAAATTAAACTTAATTTTATTAAAATTATTAATTAAAATTATTATTTTAAAATTAAATTAACTAATACAATTACATTTTCTCTAACTAAATATTGAAATCATTAATATTAAACACGCACTTACATACAACTACAACTACAACTACAACAACGCGTACAACTCTCACGGATATTGCGCTGCGGGCAATGCTGATGTCCTCTAATTGCTTGTGCCATAAATTTTCAAATATTTTCAATGCGCAACTTTCTATCAACAAAAAATCACAACAAAAATATCT